TTCAATTCCTTTAACAAAGAAAAGAAAAGTAGAAGAAGAAACTAAAAAAACAGAAAAAGTGAATAAAAAACTTAAAACTATTGAGATTAAAAATGATTTTTGTTTATATTCATATAATTCTCTGCAATTTGGGTAGTCTCTCAAATAACGACTTTTGTATTCGAGAAATTCTTTTTGATAATAAACTTTATTTTTAACAATTAAATGTTGTCTATTTTTATTTATTTTTTTGCTTTTTTCGATTAATTCATCATTTAAAAGTTTCTCATTTCTAAATTTAATCTTCCAATTTATATTTCGAAAATCCTCTTCACTACCATGATGAAATACAATCTCTGTAGTACATTCATTAATTTCATCCTTCTATTTGCCTTTGAATTCAATTATATAATCAATTCTTCTTATAAACTGCCCAAAATCACATTGAACACTATCTTCAGATTGGTGATTTTCAAAATTATATGCTTCGCTAAGTGGTTTATGAGCTATTATAATTATATATTTAGAAGTAAAAGGTATAAAACCTCAATGTTTTTGTTCAACACTTTCATTAGTATCATTATATAAAGTGACCAAATCATTCCAGTCGATTTTTTTAGTATAAAATTCATCTAATAGAACAAAATCTTGTCCATTATAATTGTTTCACCAATTATTTTTTTGTTTTTTAGATTTTGAATATAAAATATTCGGATCTCTAAATAATTCTCCAAATAAACCTAATTTCCTACTACCACCCATTCCGTAAAAATAAAAAACAATAGAACGCCTAAAGTAATTGAAAAATATTAATAAAAGTTTAAAAATTATAATTTAATTCTAATTAAAATATAAAAATAATACCAAAATCCTTCTTTTTCTTTTTCATTTTCTTGTTGTAAATCATTATAAATTCTTATCATAGTTTCATAACTTCTGCAATATGGAATCTTGTTTTTATTTTCTCTAAATATTTCAAGCAGTGTTTTTCCTTCTTCAAACATGAATTAAAACATAAAAAGATTCAAAATGAAACTCTTCAAAATCAGTATAACGATTTGAAAAAAGAATTA